TTGGGAGTCCAGGGTATAGAGGGGGGGCGGGGGGGCCGTGTCGGACCCGGGGCAGGGGGAAAGGCAGGCAGGGAGACGCACAGGAGCAGAGAAATCCCCAGCAGCTGCCTGGTGGTAAGGCTAACGCCAAGCAAAACTGATCCTGGTCTTAGCAGGGAGAGAGCGGGTGTTTACTTAGGAATCAAAGCAGGTGAACTCGTGTACGACATACCTCATCCGAAATTACAGCAAACAGGAAGCCCACTGACCGGAGAACAAAACAAACAGCCTGTCCCAAAGATAGCCAGCTTGGATTTGGGAGAAGCGCTTTCGCAAGGGGCTGTGGCAGCAGCGCCCTTCGCTCGGCCGAGTTGTCCCGGGACCGTGCTTGGCAGTTGAACCTGAGCGTGGAGGTGCTGGCATTTGGCCGCCGAGTTCAGCTGCTGCTGGGGTCCCCGCCATCCCCCACCTCGCCCGGGGCTGTCAGACACCCTGGGTTTCATTCCCTCACCCACAGCACCGGGTGGTTTTTGGGGAGGCACAGGGTCCGTGCTGCAGGTGCTCCAGGCGGGGAGTGCGGACCCACGGGCAAGATGAGTTTTAAGCTGGGAGTAGCTGTGCTCCCCTCTTCTGCAGAGGAGCGATGGAGAAAAATAATGAGTGGTGAGGAGCACAGGTATATTTCGAAAGGGGGTAAAAAACCCAACCCACACTCGTGCTTTCTCCCTCCCCGTCAGCAAGCAGTGAGTTGTTGTGCTTATCTCCTTCGGCCAGACAATAGCAGTCAGGCTGAGAAACTTCTACCTCAAACTGTGCATATTGTACAGGGGAATAAATGGACCGTGTTTATATTAAACAGCGTATTACATGCCACTAGTAGTATTTTATGGAAGGGGGGGGGCAGTGAGGAGCCTTCTGCAGCTTGTTCATTATAATTACAGATGAACAGGGGGGGAAAAAAATCCTGGCAACAACAAAAACTGCACATTTTTTTAAAAACGGCAACAAAGCCGTTTTTTGCACAGTGTTAAGAGATGTAAAGTTATTTGAAGATGTTACTTGCACACACGTACACACATGCAAATTAAAAATGAAATGGAGGTTTGAATAACACCGATCCTGAAACTGATTTCTGGTTTTGTCTGATCTGTTATAGTTTTATTGAGAGAGTGACTTTTTTATATTATTTTATGAAGGTACTGTAAATATATCCATATTATAAATTAAAATATCTTAAGGGACTTTATTATTTTTATTTTTATTTCCAAGTGCCCACGTGAATCTGCTGTTATTTTAGCACTTGTGTGTCATTTTCATTTTCCTCTCGGTGTGTGTTTTATAACATATTTATACTCTGGTGCAATTTACTACTGTGTAAGTAATTGGTCTATGTGCAATAAATACCATTGCAGCACAAGCAAGCGTGTCTCTATAGGTTTTGAAACAATACCTACCTGTAATGGGAAGAACAGCATTTGTTTTTCTCCAGAGATGGCTCAGATTACCAATACAACTCTATCTAATGGCTTTTCCTGACACAGTATTGTAAAAAATGTGTTTGAAACCCAATAAGGTTGTGTTCCTGTTGCACCGAGGTCTGCTGACTTCCCTTAAAATTAATAGCTAAAGACAAGGTGTTTCCACTCTGATAATGAATACACTCATTTTCTGTAACTATTCCTTTCTGGAATATAGTCTTTTTTTTTTTTTTTTTTTTTTTTTTGTTAGGAGTACGCGGCTGGGAGTCAGGAGACCAGAATATTTAAGATTACCGAGGATGTTTAATTTGAAAGCTAAAAATGGTCTCGAGTAGAAAGAAATCTCCGTATGCGGTACATGCCACCCCACATGTAAGTCCACCTCGTGCCGACAGTGGGCCTGATCCTGCCCGAGCGAGGTGGGTGGTGTGCGCTCAGCAGGTCCGGGTCCCAGTACTGAGCGTGGAGGTCGGGGGAGACCCCTGCCCGAAAAGCAGCCGGAGGAGGCTCGTGCCCGGTAAGGGGAGATGGGAGCCGGCCACAGGAGTCCAGACTTTGGTTGCCTCTTGCTGTAAAAAAGGAGTTAACCTCTGAGGGAGTGGCTGGGGCATAACTGGAGCAGGATCGGACTCTGGGACAAGACTTAAACACCGCTGAAACCTCTTCTGTGTCACTGGATGAAATGAATCTACCTAATTTGTAGATGATAAAGCTAACGGTCGTGTGCAGCGTAGCTTCAGTGTGCTGCCGACAGCCACATATTCCTTGGGGGCCAGATTATGATAACTGAATTTTATATTGTGGACTGATCCAAGTAAGGAGCTGCTGCGAACAGAAGGGCTGCAGATTTGCGTCCCTGGTCCAAAAGATTGTCTTTCTTTATTGCTTTATGAAGGTACACTGTATCCTTGTGATTTCATAAAGTTTTTCATTACTGCAATGAATAGATGGCAGATAGAGCAACAAAAAGGTAGTGCAGGATAAAAGTTAAGCCATTTTTAGCTTTATTAAAGTCAGAAGTACAGTTAAATTAGAAATCGGCTCCCAGGAAGAGCACTTCCCAAAGTGAGATCTTTAGAGTGGTGGACAACAGTTTGTTTTGGAAACCGTGTGTTCATTTTTTTTGTTTTAAAAACTAAGGAATTTGTCCTTTGCAATTTCTAATGATGCGTTTTCGGGGAAAAAAAAAAAAGTTACGCTTTTTATGCAAGGACAAAATGAAGGGACGAGGGAAGTAAATAACACATTTCCATTGACATTACTGGTGTTTGATGTGAGCTGCAGTTAACGGTGTCGCCCCTGATAATAGTGAAATAGACTCCTTAAAATGCCGGGGTGGCATCAGATCAGGTGCTAAGTGAAGTAGGCTCTGTCACCGAATTATTTCTTTTTTTTTAATCTGGTTTTGTCTGTGATTCTAGCAAAGGCAACGGGACCAAAAAGGTGCACGGGACGGCAACGGCTAATGCCAGCGACTGCGGCGAGATGTTGGCTGTGCATGTCAGGGTCGGGACGGGATGGGGAGGCAGCGCTGCCTTCCTCCTGCATGTTGGGGATCCCAGCAGGCCACGGCAGGGCCAGGTCCCTGCCTGCTAGGTAGGACAGAGCAGGATCCGGCCCCAGCACCCAACTGGGAGCTGAAGTGGCTGCGGAGCGCTCGTCCTCATCAGGGTGCTGGATCCCTGATAAGCATGGTGCTTACTGCGTGGGGTGGGACAGTCTAATGGAGTTGGGTCTTCATCTCATGAATCAGTTCACATGCTTAATTTTAACCATCCAAACGCTTGTGTCCTTAGACTTTAAAAAGTGTTGAAAGTTTTGGCTCAACAGGGTCCTTAGGTAGGAAATTTATAGTCAGAACTTGCTCAGCTTCTCCTGCCAAATAACTGCACTGGATCATGCTTCCCCTGGACGAGTTTAATGGCATGAAGAAGGTGAAAGGTAGGATGAGTTTTGCTCATGGGCCTCAGTAAGGTCAGTTGTGTGAGCAAAGTGGTCAGGATTTGCCTGCCGTTGAGTTTTGGCGTCGATGACCTGCTGGAAGAGTCTGGGGGCTGGCACGTTGAGTCCCTTCATAGACAGCTAAGATAATCCACCTGGCAGCATGGATGGCGGATGCAGGTCCGCCTTGCACGGTGTAAAAATGATGGTGGCACAGTAACAGTGCGGACAGAGCAGGACATATGGCACGCACGTGTGCGGGGAAGGGGAGGCTGCTGGCGAGCAGTCTGCCGTGGATCACGCTCAGAACAGGCTGTTCTCCGTGGAGAAGAAGGATACTCTGAAAAGTGTTACGGGGCAGCTGAAATACTCTGGAGGCAATGAGTCAAACACTCACGATGAATATTTTTTTCTGACGAAAACCAGACATGGATTAGCAATCGGAGCTGCAAGTCAGAAAGTATAGGTGGTAGGCATGCGGCTGCACACGTACGTGGGCAGGAAAGTAGAAGCAAAGAACCGCAGGCCTGCAGGAAAGGGAGACACAGGTAAAACAGAAATCCACTCGGAGAAAATTATTTGGCGAGGTTGCCTGAGACTTCGACGTGCAAGACGCCCTATTCTCAAAGGCGCCGGCCGTGCCCTAAGCGGTGTTTGCTCAGCACTTCTGAAGAGCAGGTTGTGTCTCTCCACCTGCTTAAATGGGAATTACTGGGTGGAAAGCCCGGCTTCAGTTTTCCGCGTGTTCAGGAAAGTTAAGGATGTTTCAGACACAAAGCAAGCAGAAGTACCTCCCCACCTGCTGCACAAAAACACTCCTGCAAATTCACTGCTCTTTGAGACTGCAGCCCCCAGCACTGACTGTAGCTCCAAGCAGTAACCGATGAACGAATGAAAACGAGTGCAAAAAATGTGGCTTAAAATTGTGGTCTGAACTGCGCCCATGGCTCACGCAGCATTTGACAGCATCAGCCGGGTGTTCGTGATACAGCACGCACCGGTTCTTCTGCAAACATTGTTTTCCCTTTTGGGTACGCATGTGTTTTCAAGTATAAGGACAACTTCTTTATCAGCTTTTTTTTTTTTCCCCTAAACCCTATCTGCAGTCAACGTTTTATTAATAACTTTTAAGTGGCTATTTTGCAAACCTAGCTTGTGCTGCACACTTTCCTAATTTATTGTAATTTCCCGTCCGGTGGAGTGCACTTACTTCCTTTATGTAATGTATCAGCTGCAGGGCTGGAGATTGTGCAGCTATGAACTGAAAGAGCAGACTTTCTTGAGGCCAAATGCGGTCAGGCATCATTGCCACTGGGAGCAGAATTTGACCTGATAATCTAATCTTACACGGAGAGTATCTCCAGAAAAGTATTGTTACCAGCAGCAAATGACCTCTGCTAATGAATCTGGAGCAATTAGTCCTATTCAAAGCTGTCAAGAAAATGTTAACTGCTAAACAACAGTTAACATAGGATAGCTCAAATAATGAGTGTTTTGTTTGCTGGTGTGTGTTAGGTGAT